ATGTATCCGATGCGGTAGGCAATGCGCACATAGAAGATCATTCATTCCAGCGGTTGTCGTAACGGTGGTAGTTCCTGCCATAGGAATATCCGGAAGATGAACCTTCGGAGTGTCGGTCATAAGCCCGTTGATTGCGCTGCCATCGGTCACGCTGTTCGTGTTGCTGAGGAGGCTCTCGGGGTTCCGGAGGGTGTCGAGGACGTGCTTTGGCTTTGGCTCGGCGTTCTGCTGAAGATAGCTTGTAGGGAACTGAGCTATGGCAGTAGCGTCGCGTTCCTGGCGTTGCCAGCTTGCATTCTGCTTCGCGTAATCTTGTTGACGAACTTGGCTTGCATCTGAATGTCCATGTCGACAATGACTGTCAAGAGCGTCTGAGTACAATGCTTGAGGCCCGACATCATGATTATCCCGCACGGATCAATACATAGCATGTTCTTATATGCATTGTTGTGCGGCGGTTGCAGTAGTGGGTACTGTCTGTACCCAGTCAGTGACCTTGCCGATGATGTTCGACAGCAAAGCATAGCAGCTTGAGTGCATCTGCGGTGCGTCGTCGACCGTGCCTTGATTCTCCCGCATGTGGGCACCCGGATCAAAATGATTCTTCCGGTGTCCGAGTTGTATAGCTCCTCGCATCAATGTTGAAATCAACTGATGTGTTCTGAATTTTCTGAGCAGGTATGCGCCCTCCAGATCCTCCTCGTCATTGAGACTTCTCGCATATGCAAGGATTTCTTCATCTGTGACTTCCCATGAAATACCAGTACTGTTATCGACTTCCGATAGCACCGGACCCCAATCGCCGAGAACGTCATATCTCTTCCTTTGCTCGAAGCATTGTCTCATTGATGATAAAGGCATCTCCAACCCTTTGGTGTTCCCTTTCCAGTTCTTGCGCATGTAGTTCGTGATGATGTAAGCCATCCTTGGATCAACAGCGAATGCCGCCTCGATGTGAACATAGATGGGCACTTGCACACATGATCGCACGTGAGCCAATTCTGAGCCCAAATGGAAGTCTGCATCGTTGAGCAACACAGGCTGAGGAGAACCAACCACTTCGGGCGTTTCCTCTTCATCTTCCATCTCAGGTGCTGGCTCTGACGTTATCTCGTCGGCTTCTCTTTCCTCATCCGGCGCAGCAATAGTCTGTCTATCATCTTCATCCACAGGATTTGCGTTGAACTGTTGCTGCTGCTTCCTCTGCTGCCGGATTGATCACGTCACTTGGGATGTCCAAAGCAGTCTCCTCTTGACGGGTCGCTCTCTGGAATCTTCCCCGAGATAGGAATTGAGAGAAGCAGTTTGCACATCTGGATAGGCATGATGGAACGATTTCAAGGCACCAAGCACAAATTCTGTAACGAAGTTCATGGTCACGGTTTGTCCTTGCCTGAGTGTTCGGTAAACTATGCTCGATAAGGAAATCTGTAGCCTTCCAGTAGAGCGCATCATGGCGTGCCCAGTCGACTTCGTTCCACCGCACATTGCAGTAATCTCCGAGTCGCGCCACGTATTCTTCCTTTGTAGCATCGTGTGGACCATGTGGCATGTCACATAACAGCCCCATCAATCTTTCGAGAGATCGGAAGGTTTTTCATGTCTGCTGCTATTGGTGACGTGATGTAGTCCAGGCAGAGCTCGCCCTCCAACTCGTAGTCCAAGATCTTTTCCACCAACTCGAAGTTTCTTCGGGCGTTGACGTCTGGAGCACACAGCCAGACTTCTTTTACGAACCGAAAATGAATTGGCTTGTTGCAAATAATGACGCCGCTCTCCGTCACTTTGCCTCCTTCACGAACGATGTCCATGAGTGGAACATAGATGGTGACCAGCGGGATGCCCCTGTTGACGCTTGACCTATTTCGCGTCACTCGATTTCTTGAATCCCAAGGTGGAAATACACCCAGTGACTACGCAATCGGCCGGACATGCTGTGCTTTTACGAGATCCCTACCAGCTTTGATGCCCTCTTCCATAATCGCTTTGAGATTGTAATACTCCGTGGAGTGATACGCTCCCTTGACGCGAACTTTGATGGATCAATCTCCATGCCAGTTGCGTCTCTGTCTGCGGAGTGTCCACTTGTAGCTCTGATAGCCCATGGCCGTACCCATCCATCGCTCAAACCGATAATATTCCGAGTAAGCCCTTGGGTTCCTTGGCTCATCCGGAATTCTTCTCGCTGTGTTGTCAAGCTCACCAACTTGTTGTCGAACGGTTGAGCGTCATGCTCGATAGCATCTCGGTTTGTAGGCTCTGTCACCTTGATTCCAAGGAACTGCAATCGAACCTTTTGACCATACACGGAGTTGATGTGATTTCCATCGAACAGCAACTGCAATCTTCGATTGAGCTGTCGTCTTCGATCATCTCTGTCATTTAGATTCAAAGGTCTGTCCACTTAATCCTCGGTGTGGGTTGCACCACAAAACATCCGTTTCCAAGGCGGCGTCCAGCTTCACCCAGCCAGCTTCATCGCAAGGGAGTGTAGGAACTCTCTGGCTGCCGACGTAATAGCTTCCATCGATCCTTCCAATGTGATGCCTCAGGTCCTTCTGAATGTGCCTTACGGCTTGCTGCACGTACCGCTTGTGATCGTGGGTGTACATTGAAGCCGGTTGGGCTCGCACCACAAGGTCCCAATCGCGATGGCAGAATGAACCTCCGCTTTCAAGAGTTTGCTGAATAAGTCCGCATGATGCTCCATCGGAAGCGCAAATGTACGCCGGCTTGGACTACCCTATGCATCTGCCATCTTCTTCGACAAACTGATATAGTCTTCGATCTCCACGTTGAGGACTGACGCAATCTCTGTACGACGTGTTCTCTGTGATGCTCTGGAGAACGGTTTCATGACTCTTTAACCGTCTAACCCCACTTCCGTGATAGGCTCGCCACAGATGTCGTTCTCACCCCCGTGCGTTCCACGCGTCTGATAAGTAGATCTTTCGATCATACTCAACGACAAACATCCCTTCATGTACCACATGGGTTCCACGTCGGGGTCTCGCCTTTGCTTTTGGCCGTCTTGTCGACGGTGCAACGCTCTCCACATCCATGTTGTCGGTGGATCCAGTCGGTCGTTCTTCACAACCTGGTCGCCCATCGTCAGGAGCTTGTACTGACTGTAGTACGTTAGAACACAGGCTCACAGGAGTCTCTTT